GCTGGTAGGTGGTATGATCTACTTCAAATAAATATTTTTGTTACGGGAGCTCTACTAAATATGCATAGTGGTGCGACTTTTGACTTTTCCTTACTGGTTAATATGAACAAAGCGCCAGGTCAATTTACGATGTGAATAAGTATATGGAATAATTGGCCATTACTTGGAGGTGTTATCGAAGGAATGATCATTCAAATTTTAATTTCCTCTGCATTACCAGGGTCCAAATGTTCGATTGCAAGTGTATGCAACGGAATTACAGATATACGAATATTAAGACCATAATGACACGAAAGGCACGAATAATATATATGTATCTGCATATATATATATATATATATATATATATATATTTTATTGATTTGTTTTCGAGGTTTTTTATTCAAAAGTTTTACTTTTTAGTCAAGTGTTGTATTCTACATTATTTTGTTTTGTTCATTCGATGCGTGTGTATATTTGTGTGTTCGTGTCAACACATATAAATGAGATAACAATTTATGTACTAGGTGTTTAAGAAAAATTAAAAACAATAGACAAAATTTTGACTAAAAATACAAATACGTGTTGATCAAGGCAAACAATTTATGTTTTAATTCGTCGATCTGTTTTTTTTGCACTTGCTATCATAATGGGTATAAATTAAATAATTTAAAGCAGGGGAAAAATAAAAGATCACCAACACCAACGACAAAACAAATCCATGTATGTAAACAAAATAATAAAATGTTTGCACATTCATCACTTTTCTCCCCCTGATCCAAGGGGGCGGGTAAATGAATTAAAAAGTTTTTTCTTTATTCTCACAGATGAGTATTAATTTTAAGTTATTCGTTATCAATAAAAAAATTATTCGTAAAAATATATTGTTATATTTAAATTTGTGTATTTATCTATTGACACACATACTTAAGTTATTTTTAATAATTTCTATTTTTATACACACTTACTACTTTTTACGCACTTATTTCTTGATATTTTGTCTTCATTTGAATTAATAACTTGCTTCAGTTGTTTTGTTGATTGTTTTTGGTGGTTATCGTAGCGAAAAATAGCCAGCCAGTGACAAACAGAAATAAAGGAATCCAAATAAAAATAACAATAAGAAACGGCAATCATCTGTGAAAAGTCAACGTCAACAAAATGAGGCAGAGATGGAAATGTGAAATCTACCTTATAACATTCTCTTGTGAACATCGTTATGTCAAAAATTTAAAAAAAAAATAATAATTTTTAAATGTTTTATTATGTGACGACATTCGAAAATTGTTGTCAACAATTTTAACGAGTTTAAATTATATTTTATTAAAAAAATAATTTGTGCCAGTAGCTATGTTGTTGCAGCTAACTATATTATTTCATAATGAAAATAAATATCTAGACCAGGGGCTGGATTCTTGTTCTATGAAAATATGAAATGACAAATATTTCCTTTATAATTTTTTTCATTTGACATTTTTCTCCTTTATAGAAGTTTTCATTTCACATTTTCATAGCACAAGAATTAAGGCCCAGAGACTCAATTTTTGTTCTATGAAAATGTGAAATGAAAACTTTTATAAAGGAAGGAAATGTCAAATGAAAAAAATTATAAAGTAAATATTTTTTCCTTTTATATTTTCATACAAAAAGAATCCATCCCCTGGGGCTGAATTGAGACCCCAGGGGATCGATTCTCTAACTCATTTTTTGAGCTACAGACAAAAATCGGAAATTTTGGGTTTAAAAATTTTGATATAAAAAAAAGTTAAATTTGACAAGATTGGTATCTATCGGTAGGTCCTAGATACTACTTCGATTTTGTCGCTAAATTACCGACAAATTTCGTTAGTTACCGAAATTATGAGCATTTTTCCACTTCAGAATTTACCATAACATCGGTCATAACCGCCTTCTTCAGACGAAAGGGATTTCACATACGTGCCTTTAATTACAGCACTTCATAGAAAATTATAATACGTTATGACTATGACAATATTCTGGAAAGACAAGACAGTTATTTAAAAATTCTTTGTTCTTTGATGAACATACATTCTGCAATTGCCACGCATTTATTATTGTTAAGAAATAACTTTGACACCGATTACGAGGAATATTTGAAAAAGCTCAAAAGTTGAATTATATTGAAAAGTGCTGGCTTGTTTGTTCGGGATACCATAGTATTTTGTTGTTGCATAATGACCAGGCTTAATCCCTTTATTATTGTTTTTATAAAAACAACGTTTGTTTATTAGTGGAATTATAGATGTCACTCATTACTGGAAAAACTACAAACTAAAATGTGGACAAAAGCAATGAAGAGCTCATTAATCTATAGGAAGATATGTATCTGAAAATTACTTACAATCGCAGAAATTCTGGTGCTCGGTTATTGGGAAGTATGTTTGCCTGTCTCATGAAGCAATAAAAATCCTTGACCCCTTTTTTGCCACTTATTTTTAGGGACGGTGACAAATTTTTAATAGGTATTAGACTTATTAGGTTCATCACACGGCAATGAAGTTAAAGTACTGAAGAAGTAGAAATCACTCGTAGATTTATCGATGTATGCAAATCCTTATAGAGAAATGAATGCGTTTTTGAATTTCGAAAACTGTTAACGGTTGCAAGAACTCCTAAAAGTTAGCAGTGAACGAACTGGCGCATAGAATGGACTGGAATGGGACAAAGGAGAGAAAAAAGCTTACAAAGCCTCAATGCAGCAAAGGCCATAAGAAGTAAGTAATTTTGCACGTAGTACTCATTTTTTCATTTCAGGCTTAACAAATCAAGAGATGGTAGAAATATATGCCTTGCAAAACCCAAATAAAACAAATAAAATATTCCTATTTAAAAATTAAAATTATTTCTACATTTAAAAGATGCAGCTTGGAAGGGAACATATTTTTTAATCCTTTTGTGTCGAAAATCATTTCTGGGTACAACGCTGCTGGTTACACCATCGGCTTCAAAACTTTAAACAACGTACATTTCTTGAAATATCGCAAGTCAAGCCAATTGTAAAACATGCTAGGTATCATGGTAAAATGTCGAAAAGGTAGGATAATTTAGATAAAGTTGCAAGTTAAAGGCAACAACTAGTTTCTTTACAAACAAAACAAATTGTGACATTGATTTTGAATAATTAAACAAAGAACGCAAAAACTGAACGAGAGGTCTATATTTATTTTCAAAATCATATTCTATAGATATCTAGAGATTTATTTCAAAAAAAGGTAAATGTTATCCATACATACTTTGTAATAGGCATTTTGAATACAACTGGATTAGAAAATTGAAAACAATACACAAGAATTGGATTGGTACCTAATTCCTACTTTGATTTCATTGTATCATGTACTAGATACATAGTACAATTCTCAAAAAAAAAATATTTCGATATAAAAAAATGAGATGTAACTACTTCCAACCCTGACCAAACAGATAAACAGGGAAATTGAGAAATGAAATAAATAAAAAGACAGCTGTTCAGTGTGTTTGTGTTAGTAATGATATGCAATAACAAAAATTGTATAATATTTAGAGAGAGAGAGAGAGAAAAAGATCTAAAACATAAACAAACGTTTTACCCACTCCCATGCATGGGTTTTGATAACGGACGAGGGGAAATTTAAAACCAAACAAATAAAAATAAATAAAAACAAATCAGATGATGCGGCCTGAAAATATTGATAAGTTGTATGAAAAAGCATATCTTAGACAAATATAGAGTTGACTTTCCATATTGTTTGTTTACACTATTAAGTGCAAAAAGGGATATCAAGAAATAAAACAAAAGATGCTAATAAAAAACATTGTTTTTTATAAGCATACAGTTATCAAAAAATTACAAACAAAATTTGATATCGTATTACAACCGATCCCTTCACTTTTTAAATGATACATACTTCCTGTTATTATTTTTTCGATCGAACTCAAATTTAACAGGCTGGCTGGCTATCTGTAACTTGTTCTGTATTTATTTACTTAGGGCAAAACTTGAGCTCGTGTTTGCCAGTTCTTAAATTAATACATTGTGAGTTTTTAAAATAACTTTCATTTTCGTATATTTGCGGCCTCCATTGACATACAAATAAGCTGTTATTATTTGTGATAACTACAAGCGAGTTCTTGATAATATTTATAGGCTAAACAGGTTTTATTTTGAATTAAAACAAATTCTTATCAAATTCTCCCATGGGAGTGTCCATGATAATGAATACCACGACAATACAACGAATGCACTGCGGTAAGTTATTGATTAAAAAACACGTCCACAAAAAAGTTGTGATAAAAGGAAGAACTTATTGTAAGTATAAATTGTGCTAGTTTATTTTTTATACCCTCCACCATAGTATGGAGGGTATATTAAATTTGTCATTCCGTCTGTAACACCTCGAAAATACATTTTAGATCCCACAAAGTATATATATTCTTAGTCTAGTCTAGTGATTTAGCGATGTCCGTCCGTCTGTGGAAATCACTCTAGCTTCCGAACGACTTGAAAATTTTACTCAAATGTATATTATGTCTGCAGGACTTTTGGTACTAAAAATGGGCCATGTAGGTCCACGTTTTGGTATAAACCCCATATAACAGTACCTCTCGATTTTCGGTATTTTAATGATTTTAGCTACATTATTCGCCGATTTTTTAAGTTCCACATTTGAATGCAGGTCCATGTCGTCGTATAGACCCTACTATAACAGCTACATTCGATATTTTTAAGATTTTAACAGAATTTTTAACGGATTTTATTGTTTTTGGGAATTTCCAAATTAGTTTTTTACTTGTTCTTTACTACTAAATCAAATTTAGGGCAAAGGCATATGGGCTTAAATTTTTATCAACCCTAGAATGTGTAAGAATGAAATCTTATTTTGTTCCAAGCAAAGTAGAATTTTTATATCCCACATAACAATGGATTGGATTTACAGGTGTTTTAAGCATTTTCATTTTTTGTTTTGTCTCGAAAAATTCAATACATTTATTTTTAATTAACAAACAAATAAAACAAGACTCACTGTTTTCTTATATCTACATTGATGTTCCATCATAATTCCTTGTATGCTTTCAACGTTTTAAGACATTAATAAACGTTTCATGTGGCACATTAATATTAGCAATTTGACGCATTTTCTTTTTGCCCTCAGCTTGTTGGCGTAAAAGTTTCATACGTCGTGTAACGTCACCACCATACTAGAAGAAATATATATAGTTAGAATTTTATTAAAAAAAATCTCCATAAATTAACTCACCAGTTTGGCCGTAACATCTTTGCGATATGCCTTGATTGTTTCTCTAGCCAACACTTTACTTCCCACGCATGCCTGTATGGCTATTTGCACCATTTGTTTTGGTATTGTTTCCTTTAATTTCGTTGCCATGTCACGGCCAATATCCTTGGCTTTACTAACATGCACAATACGACAAAGTTCCTCTACAGGTCTGCCATTTAAGTGAATATCCAATCGAACTAAATTAGTTAAATGATAGCCGTAATCTTCATAATTAAAACTGGCGTAGCCCGAACTAATGGACTTAAGGCGATCATTAAAGTCTAGAATTATTTCACTTAAAGGCAGTACATAATTCATAAGGATACGGTCATTATCTATGTTAATAGAACTCTCTTGGACACCTCGACGTTCCACACATAAACTAATTATTTGTCCCACATATTCTGTTGGTGTGATAATTGTGCCTTTCACCAAGGGTTCATAGTATTCTTTAATGTTAATCGGCTCGGGGAAAAGAGCTGCATTGGATATTTCCATAGTATCTGTGCCCATTTGTTTAATCATTTTTGGATTTTTCAGCACAATGCGATATGTTACAGAGGGCGCTGTTATAATTGGTTCAGCTCCGAATTCTTGTTCCAGACGTTGGCAGAAAACCTCCATATGTAGAAGGCCCAAAAAACCCAAACGCCAACCTTGACCCAATGCAGGACTAGAGTCGACTTTCATTGTTACAGCAGAATCGTTCAATATCAGCTTGTCAATGGCACTGCGAAGGGCCACATGTTTCGACTGATCAGATGGAAACACTCCAGCGTAAACCATAGGCTGTTGTGGCTTAAAACTACCCACCGGTTCACATGGTTCATTTTTCAGATGGAATGTATCACCTATAATGGATTCTTTACTATTGCGCATATTTACTGCAATTAAGCCAACTTGACCGGCAGATCTGAAAAAGAAATTAGTACAGAATGTTATTAACCGAAAGGAATTAACAAAGCTGAGATATTTAAAAAACAGAAGTCATGTTTTCAGAGTCTGAATCATAAGCTAAAATAGAAATTATAATTGCTTAATTTGCTTAAACCTTTTCAGACTTTGGTTCTATCGAAGAGAAAAGGCAAGTTATGTAGTTTGTCGCTTGAAAGGTATCGATCAAGGTGAATTAAAGTTCCTTGAGGTTACCGCTCTATAATTAACTGGTGATCGACTATCACCAAGCTGGTTTCTATATATATTATATTTGTGGAATCAGACCAGTCATCACTCCAAACGTCTTAACATACTCTTTTCATAACTGCAGCAGATTAATATGAACCACTGCACCTCTATTTTAATATAAAGAATTTATGTCATTATTTACGCTGCTCAATTTCCGTTTACAATTAAGTAATTATTTGGTAATTAAGCACAGAATACAATATCGCACATTAGCCACCGAATTCACTTTATCTGAAAACTATAATATCTCAGATCACGAAACTGTAAAATTTAATTTTTGAATTAATACAACTAATAGTTTAAAATACTTACATACACTTGACTTCAGTTTCTGCTGGCCTCAATATGGAAATGCTTTTTACGGGATATACTTTTTTCGTTGAGTATAGCTGTACATCTTGACCCACTTCTAACTTGCCATTTAATAGGTATATTAGGTTTAAGGCCCCACGATAACGATCGAACCAACTATCAAACAACAATGCACGGAAAGGGGAATTACGAGAAACTTTTGGTGGGGGTACAACTTCAATGACCCTATTCAGTACCTCGGGAACGCCTATTCCTAATTTTGCTGAAATCTACAAATAATTTCTTTCAAAAGCTTTACTTAAGATTCCATTAAAATGTTAAAATATTCTCACCTTTAAAACCCTTTCCGGATCTATGCTAAAAAGATTCTTTAAATCTTTGCATACTTTTTCAGGAGCTGCATGTTTTATGTCAATTTTATTCAATACCGGCACTACAGCTAAGTTACGTGTTCTAGCCAATTGATAATTAGCCACTGTTTGGGCCTGAACACCATGGCAGGCATCAACCAACAAAATAACACCATCACAGGCAGCCAAGGAGCGCGAAACTTCATTTGAAAAATCCACATGACCCGGTGTATCGATTAGATTCAATAGATATGTTTCATTTTTGTATCTATGAAATATGGATACGGTTTGGGCTTTTACTGTGATACCACGTTCCTTTTCGACTTGTAGACTATCCAGAACTTGACTACCGGAATTGGCTTTTATTGCTCCGGTCAATTCAAGTATACGATCAGCAAGTGTACTCTTACCATGATCTACATGGGCAATTATGCTGAAGTTACGTATCCGATCGACAGGTATATCGGCAAAATTATTAATCAAATCATTTTCATTATTCGAGTCCTTGACAGCAGGGCTAGAAGTGGATGATAGTAGACGCAGGTGTGTTGATAGTTGAAGACTGAAAAAATAAAATTTCTTTATATTTGGTACATTAACTTTAATTATTGGCTTACCTTAGAAAGCAATTATTATTTTTCAATTTCCATAGCGAAATACTAAACGATTTTAACATTTTCCTAATTTACTAACTTAACTATTACATCAACAACCAAACACCGGCTGTCAGCTGGTAAGCACGTTCGTTCATAACATGCAAGGCAGATATATTAGGTAGTCGCATCGTCACAGCTGATGGCACCATAAAATGTAATGTTAAATTCGCCCTAAATGAATGCCAAGGTGGCAAAGTAAGCCCACCTGTACTCTTAACTTGTTGTGGAAATACAGATTTTTATTGAAAAATAGAATATAAATACTTCTCTCTTGATCAAAATATTCTTATACAATGTAGTATTTGTGTTATATTTCTTTGTGTTTTCTTTCTTTTTGACGAATTCCGAACAGAAAAGAAAGAAAATAATTAATTTGCCTCCTGTGTGACTTTATTAAATTGGCTTTGGTAAATGTATAACGCGAATTGCTACATCAAAGTAAGTTTTTTTTGGTAAGACAAAAAAAATTGATTTAGATGCGTCTCCTTGGCGCTTCTGGCGGTACAGTAAATTGTCCAACCAAGGAAAACAACAAAGGAAAAATATGATTGAAATGTCCACGGTCTGCCGCCAAAATGTTTGCGTGCCCAAGGAATAATTTCGGGATAATATTCGGCATTTATTCTGATGCCACGGTCGATTGATACGAGCGGAGAGCGACCATCGGCTGTTATGGCGGCCCACACCATCACCATGGCCGCCGCTTGAGTTCTGGAAGTTCCGAAGGTGCACATTTTCAGCTGACCTCTTTGGCAAGTAAATACGATCATTTAGTTTGCTTACAAGCTGCTGGAAAATGAATGTTTTCTCATCGGAGAAAACCAAATTTGGCAGTTCACCACTTTTGGCCAAACGAAGCAACTCTTTAGCTCTTTTGAGTCTATTTTCTTTATGCTGCGGTGTAAGTTTTTGCACTTTTTGGAATTTCAATGGCCTTACCCCGAGCTCATTTTTCAATATTTGCCGAATAGAAAATTGCGATATGTTTAGCTAACGAGCCATTTTTCGGCCACAGCGACGCGGGTTTCGATCAAGTCGCTTCTTTACTTTTCGAATAATTTCTGCTGGTGCTGCTGTTTTCATCCGTCCACTTCCACGTCACGGTAACAAGCGATGGTACGAAACACAAAAGATTTATCCATTTGTGGTTTTCCAGCCAAATAACAAAAAATCATACTATCGCGCTTGAACTCCATCATGAATAACTTTTTTTCTGAAAAATTTCCACCAAAATGCTTTTGTACGCTAGTAAACAATATAATGAGCGGTCACTGTAATAATTTTAACAGCTGTTGGACGAGTGGCTTAGAAATGACAGCAGTCTGAAGTTGGTTGTAGTTTTTTCAGCTCACCCTGTAATTCGTAATAGCCTCTGAATGAGATTTTATGAGAAAACTTAAAAATCAACTTATTTTTGCAGAAACTTTTGAATATGTTCGACATTTCATTGTTAGCAAGTGCGATGCACCCACCTGTATCATTCTACATTCATTTAGGGCGAATTCAATATGTTTTGACATTTGATGGTGGAATCAGCTGGGATAATCTGACTACTACCAAATATATCTGCCTTGCAACATTCGTTCAGAGGCATTTTTTGCATTTTGTTTATATAAAACTCAAAAATTATCAATTAAAATTTGTAAAAATGCGTTTAACCCTTATCCAATTGTTTAAAGATACCGTTCCCGGTCATATCTTTCGTGGTAAACGTCGCTTGGTAAAACCCGTTAGCAAGCGGGCCATGGAAACGTTACGACGTGAATACGAACGTCAGGAACAAATTATGTTGTACTTGAGGCACCCATATTTGTCTGTGGTACGTATGCTGGAAGTTTGTATAACCTTTTGACAGCCTATTAATGCATTGTTATTTGAAGGAGGAATCTGAGGGACACGTTAAGGATCTAAAGAAATCAGAGGCTAAAATTGCCATGTGGAATGATGCACAAACTGCAAAGAAACTCAAACCACATGTAACCATTGAGGAACGTTTGAGTCATCTCAAAGTAAAGGAAGCTTGGGACTAGGTTATATAAATATCCGTTGTAGTGTTTTTGTTAATAAAATAAGTTGCAATAAATGTTAATGAAAAGTTCAATTTTAGTAATGTATTGACATCGGGAATGAAATACTCTCACATGTTCTGACCATAATCTTATCCCTTTCACCTGTCAGCGAGGGTGGAGATACGTTTATAAATAAACAAGCTTTAATCTGTTTCTCAAATGACTATCGGCAACTTTATTTGCTCACACTCCCCCCATAAACTATGAAGGAAAACGAAATAGTTAAACAATACCTAATATAGTTTTCTTTTATTTTTTGTACAACAAAAACATATGTCATTTGTTTAACAACTTTTACAAATGGCCACATGAGGCTTTTTTAAAATGCTTATTGTCTCACTTAAATATCTAATAACCATTCAATGGGCCAAAGCTTTATTTCCATTAGCCGCTGCATCGTCTTCTTTAACATAGTAACGATCCAAATAATGAATAATTTCGAAGCCAACCTCAATCATAATCAATATGATTATCATCCACTCCAATCGTGTGTTGTGCGCTTCATTCAAATTGTGCGATATTAGTTCGGCCAGTTCAACACAGTGGTTGATTTTTTCATTCATAACTTTCGTTCTTCGAGATATTGAGAAATAGTTGCATATCTGCAAATACAAAGTCTCCAATTCCTCACGATCCCAATAGAAGTCAGGAGTGTCAAGAAGATCCGATGATAAGTTAATAACATGACGCAAGGCCAACAGTTCGCCTGTTTTCCTTAAGACTTCTGCCCGCGAAATTCTTATACGTCTACCTTTTTTCATGTCATTTGTTATAAATTCCATTGAGTCGATGTATCTGTCCAATGTTGCCTCCCAAATACCCAATTTGACAGATGTAGCCAAGGCATTGGAAAAGGTATATTTAGAGAAAAAGTTTTCCTCTCCGGACGTAAGGAAGAATTTTCCACTTTGAAAGAAAGCTTTGGCAGGTTCTACATCACTTGACGACACAATATCACCCTCCACATCGATGGCTGAGGGTGGTATATAGGTGTAGGGCATAACTTCACTTTCGCTGCGCACCAAGGGCCGTAAGTATGCCTCTTTTTCAAACGATCTCAAGAAGGATAAAATATTGTTAGTCTCAATGTCATTGAAATTCCACATTACCACTGAACCTTCGCGAAAGAAGAAAATATCGCGATCTTCTTCACCCACTTGATACTTGGCGGTAACGTATAGAACATCCTGTTCCAAACCCAAATTATCTGTTGAAAAGAATTTCTTGGCATCGTAGAGTTCCTGTAATTTCAATGCCTCCATGAGGTTTTCCAAGTCGTACTCTTCAGCCGTGGAAAAGGCAGCAACATTAAAATAACCCAAAGCGGCTAAATCAGCTTTACCGGCACGTTTTTTGCGTTTGTTCACCTGACTTAAGGGAACTGTTTTTGATGTTGTTTGTGAAGGGTTTGTAGTGGCAGCCTTGTGTGCTCCACGCTGAGGTGTTGATAACGCTCTTGCTTCCAAATCTTGTAGTTTGATCTCTAAGTTTGTGGTTTTCACTGGAAATTGCTGATGCAATGGCGATAATTTTGGTGTTAACTTTGTGGAATATTTCTTTGTTGTCTGGAACACGGTGAAGACAGCGCAATGCTGTCTAACAATAAGTCTTGCAAAATTCATAACTGTTTTATTTATGTTTTCATTACTATTAGTAAAAACAATATTTTCTCGTGGGAAGTGTGTTATGTGTGTGGATGACCCTTTCCAATTGACAAAGCCCGCGTAAAAGAAAGTAACGCCGTAAAAAAGCTAAAATATGGGAATCAAAACAAACAGGCCGATAATCGAAATCGATTTAATGAAATTAAAACGTACGTAACGTGATGTGTAATGGAAATTTTTAACCCTCTAATGATATGTTCTCATTGCAAATTCCCATTTTTAAATTTGTTATTTGTTGATTTTTATAGGAATTTGTATGAAATTACATGAAAGCATGGTACAATGAATTCAAGGTAGGGCAGAACTACCATATGATTTCAATTTTTTTATTTTTCTGGCTCAATATGTCAACTTCATTTGTTTATGTGTGCGTATTCTTTTCAATAATAAAAAAATTTTTAGAAAATATTCAAATTCGGGTGTTTTCAAAATGCTTATTACAACATATGCATCGACAAAATCTACAGTTTTTGTCGCGAAATAAACCATAAGAGATATATAGAATATGATTTTGAAAAGAAAATTTGAACTATCATTCAGATTTCGAGGTTTTAAATTATTTATTCAAAATCAATGCAACAAGTTGTTTGCTTTTTTATTGTTTTGATAGTAATTCTGACATTACAAGCCAAACAGGTAGACCTCTATACTTGCAATTTTTTCAAAGTTGACCTACCTTCTCTTCATTGTATCATGCATGAAAGTATTAATTATGGAATTAATAATAATGGAAGAAATTATTGTTTTTCCTCCAAAGATTTGTTTTATCTTTTATTTAACAATTTTCATTCATGTTTTGAACTTTTTGTATAAATGTTGAAATTTTGAAAATACTGCTTCTTTTGTTTCCAATTCTCTTTCAAAATTCCAACTCGTGGACAAAAAACATACTTCGGATGAGAGAGAAAACAAAATTTACTCTCGTTTGGATGCGCATACGCCATTCAACATTATAAGGCATGTCACAAAATCGAAATGGTTTGAATTTCGTAGTTCAAAATCGTTCATTTTTGTTAAAGCTTCTTCAGATTTCGTACGATTTGGTGAACTACGATTTTAGTTTAAATATGGCAACAATATATATTCAATATAGTAACATTAGGGGAATGGATGAACAAAAAAACATTGTAGAAGTGTAAATATTCTGCTCAAGAGAATTTTTTTGTGCAAAAAGAAACATTACAATTGATTCCTCAATTTTACTGAGCACGTATTTGTTAAAAGGACCACCACCAGTTTTTTGCATTTTTCCACCCATTGCAATCTTTGGTGTGTGGTCCCGAGGAATTTTATTTTTCGGTGAGCTGAGACCAACTTGTTTCGGCAACCTCTCGACAGTCCTCGCTACCTTTCTTGTGCCGAATTCCGAATATTTTAAAATATTAAAATATTAAAGTAAATACGAAAGTAAAACCAATTTCCTACCGAATTCATTCTTGTGATTTTCAGTATTCTTGAAAATTTTTGAAAAAGGGAATTGTTTTACTATGAATTACGAATCGTGCCGTATGAACGGGTTAATTCGTGTACCTAATTTTGAGAGCGAACAACGTGATTGAAATTGCAATGAGAACATAGCATAAGTCGAACAATCGACTATTAATAGTCGAGTACTCGATTTTTACCCAAGTCCATAGTCGAGTTTGATAGCATTTGGAAAAACGATAGTAGCAGCTAGTTCCGCGCTCTTTAGTGAAGATGTTCAATTTTCTCATGTCTCATTCGTAAACAGCAGAGTACCCCGAGTCTTTGCTTTCTGTTTATTTTTTATCAGGTATTCCTTTGTGGCCTTCATATTCGTTTCGTTGGGACGTTTTTCATTTTTGTTTCCAACGCTCGCAACGAACTAGTTCCGGGCTCTTTTAGTGAAGATGTTCAATTTTCTCATGTCTCATTCGTAAACAACAGAGTACCCCGAGTCTTTGCTTTCTGTTTATTTTTTATCAGGTATTCCTTTGTGGCCTTCATATTCGTTTCGTTGGGACGTTTTTCATTTTTGTTTCCAACGCTCGCAACGAACTAGTTCCGGGCTCTTTTAGTGAAGATGTTCAATTTTCTCATGTCTCATTCGTAAACAACAGAGTACCCGTGCGTTATGCATTACACTCATTCGTAAACAACAGAGTACCCCGAGTCTTTGCTTTCTGTTTATTTTTTATCAAGTATTGCTTTTTGGCCTTTATATTTGCTTGTACTGTATAGTACAAATTTTCGAAACTAGTCTACTGTATAGAACAATTTAGAACGAACGAATAATTAATCCGTCGCTTAATGGATTTCCTAAAGAGTGGATTCAAAACTGTGCTTGGTGCCACAGAACCAGGCCAACCGCCGAGTGCTGCAGAAACCGTTGAAAAACTAGTCGACAGAGCATCTTCATCCACACTTTTGGAAGATCGACGAGATGCTTGTCGTGCCCTTAAGGCTCTTTCGAGAAAATATCGCATTGAAGTTGGCGCTCAGGGCATGCCCGCTCTGATACAAGTTCTTCAAAATGACTGCCAAGACTGTGAAATTATCTCTTATGCCTTGGACACTTTGTGCAATATTGTGGCAACAGAAGAATTTGATGAAGAGGCCGACAATCCCACAGTCTCAGTTAATGTGGGAGAACAATTTACGGAAATGTTCATAAAAAATCCAGAACATGTTTCCTGTGTTATGAACTATTTAGAGGAGTATGACTTTCGAGTACGCCGGGCAGCAATACAATTGCTGACCACACTGATACAGAATAAAACTCGTGATTTACAAGAGCACATATTGGTGAGTCCAATGGGTGTATCAAAACTAATGGATCTATTGTCCGATAGCCGTGAGGTTATACGTAACGATGCCCTCTTGCTGTTGATACAATTGAACAAAGGGAATTCCAATATTCAGAAAATTGTGGCTTTCGAAAATGCATTCGACAAGATTTTCGATATCATACGAGACGAAGGCTGTGCCGATGGTGGCATTGTGGTGGAAGACTGTTTGATATTGCTGTTAAATCTCCTGAAGAACAATTCCAGTAATCAGCAATTCTTCAAGGAAGGTTCTTATATTCAGCGACTGGCTCCAATGTTCGAGTTGTCTGGCAGGGAAGGAGAAGAACAAGGATGGGCTCCGCAAAAAATGTCAAATGTTCATTGCATGTTGCAGGTGGTGAGGTCATTGGTCACCCCCAGCAATCAGCAACAGGTAGTGTCATCATGCCAAAAAGCCATGTCTAAACTTTTGGAAGCCCTTTGTGAGATACTAATGGGCAGTGGTGTACCAGCCGATATATTGACAGAAACAATTAATGCCGTGGCAGAAGTTGCACGAGGCGATCCTGACAATCAGGAATTGTTGAGCAAAGTAATGGCCCCAAGTACGCCCCCTAGGCCTGTGATTGTTGTACTGCTTATGTCAATGATAAATGAGAAGCAAATGTTGGCATTACGTTGCTCTGTACTCTATTCATTCCAGTGTTATTTATACCGCAATCCTGCAGGTCAACAGGCAGTAGTCTCAACATTATTACCATCATCAGCTGCCGATGTCTCAAACCTCTCCACTGGTCAATTGCTGTGTACAGGACTATTTTCCACGGATTCATTGGCCAATTGGTTTTCGTCGGTGGCCCTAATGCATACCTTGGTGGATAATACCAGTCAAAAGGAAGAATTGCTGCGAGTGCTGCTGGCCACATCTGCTGGTGGACATAAGCCCATAACACTACTGGAACAGTGTACCAATCTATTGCAACAGGAATCGTATAAACTTCAAAGTAAAGTTGGTCTGCTCATGCTGTTGAGCATGTGGGTGGCTCATTGTCCAACCGCGGTAAAAACTTTGCTCCAGACCCAAGGCACCATGGGTTATTTGACGGCCCAAATTAGTGGGAACGAACATGATGAAAATGAATATTTGGTGCAAGGTCTATGCGCTTTTCTAATGGGTCTTTGCATACAATTCAATGACAATTCCTTAGCTGGACAAAAACGTGATGACATATGTCAGCTAATTATCAAGCGAATTGGGCAGGAAAATTTCTGCAATAAACTTAACGAAGTCTCCAGGCACGAGGCTTATAGCAGAGCCTGTAAACAACCACAAATAAGGGCAAAGTCGGCCATTGAACTTTTACTGGACTATGAATATTGTAAGCTATTCAAGGGCTTGGAAGCTTTGGTAGTCAAAATGGTAACGGGCTTTGATGTGAATGGCATTGAGTTGACTGAGCTAACATTAAGTTCGGAAGCTTCTGCTTTGGTGGCCCAGTATAAAGGCATTATACGTGGTTTGGACACTCAAATAACATCACTACAAGAAACCGTCAAACAATTGGAATCTAAAAACACCGAACAAGAGAAAAAGTTAACAGAGCTACAATCATTAAATCATCAGCTCACCGACCAAAATACATTGCTGAAGGCCCAGTTAGGAGCCCGAAAAAATAATGACTCCACCTCGACCAATTCTTCAACTCCCAACAATGACAATAATTCCTCACCCACCAACCATGCCACGTTGGAAGCCTTAAATGCAGCCCAGTTTCAAACCAATCTTTATTATACGGAAAATTTGCGCTTGCAACAGGAATTGGAGAACTTACGCAAGTGTTTGCAAGAGACAACGGCCACGGCAAATACTGCAAACGAAAATTATCGAAAACTGCAAAAAGATCAAGAAGACCTTTTGGAGTTACTAACCGATCAAGAAAACAAAATTCAACGCTACGAACAGCAAATGCGGGCAGCCGGTCTACCCGTTGAAGACGAGGAAGAGGCCGAGAATGAAGACAACAGTAATAGCGATGAAAATATAATTTCAAATCCTTCAAGTTCTCTAACAAATTCCATAGAAAATTCAAGTCCCCAACATGCAATAACGCAAAATATTTAAAAGCGTTTGCCATGATCAACGTTGTATATCCTTAAAGGAATCTGGTTCTAAAAGAAAACTTTAGTCGTTTGTCCCGCTCCGAAAATGGTTAGTGCGGGGGTATAACACAAAAGTTTGTTTGTAGCTAACATTGCCAATTTCGTTTTTATTCCAAATACACACACACACACATATAATGATCCATGTTAATGATAAACTATTAAAATTATTCTTTAATTTAAGATACCTGTATGTTAAAATAATGTTATAACTGATTTGTATTTAATTTCTACAAAATATATATGTTTTGCGTAAAAAAACGAGAATGTTTTTTTTTTTAATGGATATGTGGTTTTCTTCTTGACGGTGGGGCTCTTGTATTTTGTATTAGAACATAGAAATAAATATACACCTACACTGATTGGTAAATGTAAAATTCCTTTTGTTAATAGAACTTGTCTTTGAAATTAGCATTTCACTGAGTAAATTTTACGTTTTCTCTGGTTTCAGTGAATAACATTTTTAAAGTAAAATATTTTTTGTTACACAAAAAATTATCGGTTGCGCTATTCCGCAAATTAAATATTCTTGTTTATTATTAGGAAAAATAAAAATTTTGACTGTATTTTATTTTTTTGTAAATTTTAATCGTGGCTTTATTATTGTGCGGTGTACTTTATTTATACCCTACGCCACACTGTGTTATAGGACATTGTTTTTGTGAATTTGTTTGTAACGTGCAGAAGGAAACGACATAGTTCCTTTTGATGATCTTAATAGAATAACATTATGAGTCGATTTATGTATGTCTGTCAGTCAGTCCATGTATTTTTGTAAATAAAGTACACGTCACATTTATTGTCTGATTGAGATGAAAATTTGGCCCAAGGAATTGGTATTGAAATTGGTGAGAATCGTCAAAATTTAGATATAGCTCCCATACATCTTCTGATTTTAATTTTAATGTGCGGCATGTGTGTAATATTTTTCCAAATAGGGTAGATATCGGCACATCCGATTCACCCCAAAAGCAAGTACTTCAAATTTGGTTAGATTCGGTTCAGATATAGCTATAGCTGTCTAACTAAACATACGAAACATATATGTGTATGTTTAGTTAGACACCTTCGTAATATGGTACCAGATAGCAGATACATATCAGAAATGCCTCTGAGATAGCTTCAGATTTGAATATAGCTCCTATATATATCTTCATCCGATTTCACGGTAAACTATTGCTGCGATATATATTTTTTAACATAATCATTCTCGAAATCACGTAGAAATGTTATTTTGTACCAGAGGTACATATGCCTCTGTTAAATTTTTGTGGAGATCGATTCAGAGTTGGATATACCTCCCATGGTACAATGAAGAGAAGGTAGGTCAACTTTGAAAAAATTGCAAGTATAGAGGTCTACCTGTTTGGCTTGTAATGTCAGAATTAGTATCAAAACAATAAAAAATCAAACAACTTGTTGCATTTATTTTGAATAAATAATTGAAAACCGCGATAATTGAATGAAAGGTCAACACTTCTTTTCAAAATCAGGTACTATATATCTCTAAAGGATTATTTCGCTACAAAACTCTATATTTTGTCGATGCATACGTTGAAATAAACATTTTGAAAACACCCGAATTTGAATGTTTTCTGAACAATTTTTTTGTTATTGAAAAGAAAACGCATACATAAACAAATAAAGATGACATATTAAGCCAAGAAAATAAAAAAAATTAAAATCATATGGTAGTTCTGCCCTACCTTGATATCATTGTACCATGATACCTCCCACGTATTAGTCCCTTTGATTCCAAATTATAAATGCTCTATGATCTACCTACAATTCCGAATAAAACAAATTAAAAAAAGTATCAGTCGGTTTTGCCGACAGATGTATACCCCCATCCATTGTTCGATTACTTAAATTTACTTTAACTTCTGTTATGATTAATCAAATTGTAGACCCTCTATGGGGTAGGTTCCGAATATTACGACGTGTCTAGTTTGGACCGTGGTACAATGAAAAGAAGGTAGGCTAACTTTGAAAAAATTGCAAGTATAGAGGTCTACCTGTTTGGCTTGTAATGTCAGAATTAGTATCAAAACAATAAAAAATCAAACAACTTGTTGCATTTATTTTGAATAAATAATTGAAAGCCGCGAAAACTGAATGAAAGGTCAACACTTCTTTTCAAAACCAGGTTCTAGATATCTCTAAAGGATTATTTCGCTACAAAAACTCTAGATTTTGTCGATGCATACGATGAAATAAACATTTTGAAAACATCTGAATTTGAATGTTTTCTCAACAATTTTTTTGTTATTGAAAAGAAAACACATACATAAACAAATAAAGATGACATATTAAGCCAAGAAAATAAAAAAATTGAAACCATGGTTACAACAATTTACTCACCAATTATTGTGAGCTCTACCTGAGCATTCGATTTTATAACAATTCATGTTAAATAACATGTGATATTTACACATACAAATCTGTTAGTCGCTGTCTAAAACAGATCTATTTGTTATTTAGTTTTTTAAGTTTTGTTTTGATTCTATATTTATTAGTTTGCAGACACAATCGCTCTGTTCGTCACAGCTGAGGCAATGAGCAAGCCTCTCTCTCACAACCATTGTTTTTATCTTTTTACTCTTTGTTATCGTTCGCATGTAGCAAATGCTTCAATCACTATAGTTAGAACAAGACGAATATAGTTGTAAGTATTATGTTAACCATTCGCTTTGTATGTTATCATTGTACTGAAAAGAAGAAGACTCAAATAAAATATACTATACTATAGCGTCGAGTTAATTATTCTTTTGAAAAAAAGTTATAAAATCTTTTTTGCCCTGTGAAGGTAAATAAATGAAGCAGAATTTACAAAAAAAAAGTATTTTGTCCCAATAAGTTGGGATAAATAGCAAAAAGTTTCTCTTCGCTTCTTAAAACATACACAAAGCCAAGCGTTTGCATGATTCTCTTGATTGTGGTTTTTTATCAACATTCCTTTTGCTTCATATTCATAACAATTGTCGGGTGCAAATCAAATTCGCAATAAACAAAAAGATAAAGATTTTAATGTATAAAAAATTGGGAAAGGTGATGTTCTGAGTGAAAAAACAAATTTTGAGTTTGCACAAATTCCAATATTTTGCATGCAAAATGTCTTCTTAGATATGTATTGAATATACTCTTTACTCCTAATTACTGATTAATTTTTGGTGTTTATTTTAGGTCATGAAAATAAATTAATAATCCAACTGCAAAATGGAGACTGTATTGTTGACCAATATAAAAAAGTTATACGAAAATGAGTTGTATGGCAGTGTAATTACCGCTGTAAGTATTTCGTCCGTCATATATTTTTAAAGATTTACTTTAAAAGTGTTCTTTTGTTACAGTCAAGTTTGCTAAATACCCTTTTGCAAAACGAGCGCTCACTGGCCACTCCGGAAATCGAGTACAATGTATTGTTATTTCACGCAAATTCATGCTATCAGGAGAAGCAATATCGGATGGCCATAAAACAGTTCAATGCTGCACTTCTGATGCGTAAATTTATGTCGCGCTATAAAAATGCACATTTAACAACAATAGAAAGTACTTATGAACATTTTGGCGAAACTGAGACACGTTATCGCCTGGCCATGTGTCACAAACATTTGGGTGAAAACTCACAGGCTATAAGTGCACTACAAGCATTACCCGCAAAGGGAAGATCGCCAAAAGTACATTTATTATTGGCCAAGTTAATACATCATAGTGGTTCCAATTCAAGTGAAGCTATATTAAATTATAAAGAGGTCTTGCGTGAATGCCCAATGGCATTGGAAGCCATAGATGCGCTATTAGAATTGGGAGTTGATGGAATTGAAGTTAATTCTTTAGTTATGAATGGTAAGATAAAAAGAACAAACAATTGATTTTTGGGGAATGGGGTGGTATGTGTCGGTCATGCATTTTTTCAATATTGTCATTATACCCTCCACCTTGAAAAGAAGGGTATATTAACTTTGTCATTCCATTTGTAACATCCCTAAATATTCGTCCTAGCCCCCATGTATTCATAATCAGCATAAAATTCTAAGTGGATTTAATGATGCCCGTCTGTCGGTTGAATTCACGATACAGCCCACATTATTTGACGTACAGCGTCAAAATTTAGCAGAGCAATTTGTATTGTGTCTAGGATGGTTTGTATTGAAAATGAGATATATCGGTCAACGTTTTGGTATAGCCCCCATATAACGGTACCTCACGATATTCGTTATTTTGACGATTTTTGCCATTTATGTTTACGGATTTGTCTAAAAATTGGTATGTGTAGGTCATAATGAACCCTAGTTCGTGTGGCGAAACATTGTGTATATACCATATAATGGTACCTCCCGATATTCGGTATTTTGATGATTTTTGCCCCATTTTCCCACGGATTTGTCTAAAAATTGGTATTAGTGGGTCATAATGGGTTCTAATGTTTCCTTTACCGAAAGGTGGAGGGTATTAAAAGTTCGGCCCGGCCGAAATTAATGTTTTTTTACTTGTTTTTAATTACAAAAAGTAAGAATGTTTTTATGCCACTCAATTATAAAACTCTAAAAAAACCAGAATGATATATTTATTCTTTGCTGTTTTTTATGAATTTGTTTCAAGCCATGTTTGTTTTCTATTTTTATTGTAACAAGTGTTTTCAATCTTTGTTTTTTCAAAATATATAAATGGTTTTGTTTTTACAGCAAGCACCGTTCCCAAAAACATTGAATGGCTTAGCACCTGGATAAAGGGTCACGCCCAGTTGTATAGTCGTAAACATATGGAAGCATCTAAAACTTTTCAAAGTATTAACAACAAAACCAAATTCCACCAGAATGAAAATCTCATTACTCTCATTGGCAAATGTTTCTATTACTATGGAAATTCCACACAGGCCCAACATTATTTAGAGACAGCGGTCATGTTGAATCCCTACAATTGGGAAGCAATAATGCCATTGGCAGTTGTCTTCGAATACAATCAAAAGTTACAAGAGTTGGAAAAACTTACCGCTCAGTTAACAAATATTCATGAGTTTACATCGGGACATTGGTTTGTGCTGGCACAAAGTTTCTATGCGAATGGAAAATTGGATAAGGCAGCTTCATTTGCCAACAAGGCTTTGTCGGTGAATCCGCGTAATGTTGAGGCACAACTGCTGAGGGGTAAAATTTGCCTGCAAATAAGACGTCACAAAGATGCCATTTATTTCTTTAGATCTGCTCAGTGTATTGCCAATTATCGTTTTGAAGTTTATAAGGGATTGTTCCATTGCTACGTTGGCATGAAAAGGGCCAAAGAGGCACAGACAATGTGCGCTCTAACAGTGCGTTACTTTAGAGAATCTCCAAGGAGTTTAGTGGTGAGTATTACGAACTAGCAAATTCACAATTGCACACTATAATAATGAAAATGTTTACCATTCCAGATGTTTGCCCGTACTCTGGTCAACTCCTCTCATCCCAATGCTAAAAAGAGTGCTAAGAAAGTTGTTGCCAAGGCTTTGGAAATAGACGAACACTATGCCCCGGCCGTGGCATTAATGGCTGAGCTTTGCCATTCGGAGGGTGAAACCCAAGAGGCCATTGCTTTGCTAAAGAAACAAGTTATCATCTATCCCCATTACAAGTTGTTTACCATGTTGGGCGACATCCTAGCCCAAGAAAAAGATCTCAATGCTGCTTTGGAATACTATACAACGGCTTTGAGTAATGAACCCACATATCAGAGAGCTTTGGATGGTGTTAATGCCCTGGGCAAAGCACAATGGTCGTCAAATACAAAAAATGAACAGGACACATCGATGACATCTTCAGCCAATCAGGACGATGAATGGCCAATCGAATGTGATGAACCGTCGGTAGAGGCTGTGGAGTTATCCTCGCCGGCTGTCCAAAATGATGATGATGAATCGGATACATTTTCAGATCCTTTCTGGCAAGATGTAAATGCCGAATTAACCAACTAGTCTTAAGAAAAGTGCTTAGCCATTATTCAAGTATTCATTCCTTTTTGCCCTATATTGTTTTCATTTCTATACTATGTTTCATTCACGTCCTTTATATACTCAATATTATCTATAAGAATGAGAAGAATTTCATTATTTGTTTGAAAAAAAAAATACATCTTTTGTTTAAAATTTTGAATCATTTTGTTTTTAATGCGACTTTTCTGTCTGTGCAAATTATATTTTTAATTTCCTTGCAATGTGAAGATTACTGGTCAGAATCGTCATTAGCTACGCATTCAAACAATGCTTGCATGTATTTGTTCTGCCCAATAAAATGGCATCGGAAAGCCTTTGTGAAAATATCACGTCCGTGGATTATATGAAGAGATTACATTTTTCTGCATCACGTATAAGAATGGGTGATTTTGGGTAAATGAAATCACGTGTGCCTTTTTTTTGTGTCGAAAAATTGCCGGAATATTAAACGATTGTGAAATTCCTTGGCTTGCCAAAACTTGAGAGCAGTGGTAAATGATGCCCGACTTCAAGTTACTACTTTTCCCGGGATATAAAATAAATTTTGAATTTTCGTACTCTATGCTTTCTTTATTACAAAAATATCTCTTAAAAATACAGTATAGGTAACAAGTAACAAGATTAATGTAGTTACTTTCAATACACTTTCTCATTGAAACACAAAGTTCATATCCTTTATGCTGCATTCTCGCTTTCCTTTTCAGTACCATTTTCCGTGCCACTGGTATCTTTCTTCGCTTTGTCCTTCTTGTCTTTGACGACTTTTCGATAGGCTTCCAAATCTTTGGTTAGCGGATCTATGAAACTTTCGAACTCCAGTTGTTTTAATGCATCCAGAATATTTGTGGCGGTGATTGTCTTATGATTCTGTTTGCGTGCCAAAGACGTTGAGGTGGAGGTCAGGAAAATAACAAACACTGATGCTGCCCTGGCAATAGCTGATCTCGCCTCTTTGGAAACATTGGCGCCATCCGGCAGGGCATCCTTTAAGAGACGGGTGATGACAGCATTTGGTAAATTTAAATCCTCAATACGTTCAACCATTGTGTGAGAAATAGGCTTTTAAGACAAGAAAACTAGAAAAAGCGGCGTTGCGTTTGTTTGTAAACTGCGGGAAAATTTGCGACCGAACATTAATAGGCACATGTAAATCGACTCTAGTAGATTCGACGTCGACTATAAATCCCTAATCGTTGGCGCCGTTTAAACACCGGCTTCAATTATAAACGTTCCAAACAAACGAAACAATTCTTGTCATTCACATTAAACTATTGACCCATCGTGTTTACACTATTTTCTTTGAAAATTATCTATTTATTATTAAAAAGTAAAGCAAAGTAATTAAAAATGTTTGCTTTTCCTACACGTTAATAAAAAAATAACAGGGACAGACAATGTTCTGCGTGGATGTGTGTTTCACATGGTGATGACATTTATTTATTCATTCTATATAATAATATTAATGCTTCCAAACTCATCAAATAGTAATAAAATGAAATTACAAATCTAGTAGATTCTTGAAGGTTCTGGAACAGAGCAGTAATCATGATTCCAAGTAGAATATAATAACTACATACCTAAGCTATGTTAGTGGTGAAGTTGTATACAATTTGCATAAAAAAAGAAAAAAAAATTGCTCATGCAACTACATTGAAACATGCCTAATTTTCCTTGCAGACACTCTGAATAGTGAATGAATACTTAAGATGAAAATACATAAAACGCTTTTCTGACTGACTTAAGTCATCGACTTGTTTTTTTCGTAAAAGATCAAAGGAGCGTGGGATCAAAATCGAACTAAGTTAACCTAAAACTCCTTTGTTCCTCTACAAATAAGAAAGCCGATGATGTAAGCCAGTCAAAGCAGCTTTTTATGTATTCTCACCTTTAAGCCAGCAAAAAACATTCTACGTATTCTCACCTTTACAAAGATATCTTGGATAGCCCTTAAATAATCCAATGTTTGTGGTTCTCAAAATTAAACATAATTGACCATAATACATAAATTTATTTACGTGTCCAGAATTTATTCAAACATATCTAGACTTCCAGTTCGGTCAAGAATATACGTACATAACTATATTCCGATATGCAATGCCAGATGTCCACATTTTCAAGATAATGGCATTAAATTGATTTTAATTTTTTAAGTATTTTTTTTTTTCGTATGACCGTTGGGTTTTTGTTTGTTTTTCGTGAAAAGACCAAAACAAAGGTGGAGATGACGATTGTTGCAATCACCAAATAATGTTTTGGTGACAGCTATTTGGCGTTTATTTATTTATGTTGTTGCTGTTATTGTTTTGTTGCAGTCAGTACCAGTTGTTGGTTTGTTTGTTCCTTTGTTTTTGCACTGATCGTATCCGTGTTGAATTGTCGCTACAAATTGTCATGATTGTTGTCGACTACTACAACGGAACAACAACAACAACAGTCACAGCCACAGCTAGCGATGACTGCTGGCCACAAACAACACCAAGAGCAGAAATTAGATACAGCAACAACAAAACATTGCGAATACATGAAACGACATGTAGAAGTGTACTAATCCAAGTTATAGTTTGTTGGGCAAGCGTTTTTCAAAAGATCTCATAAGTTTACTTACATACACATACATACGTATTCCCGCCGTTAGCGGTTGGGATGACGTTTGAACACAGATTGCTCCCGGCAGCCAACAAGTCGTCTGACATCCATACCATAACCAACCGTACATGAGTCGTTGGAGTCAAAGTTACCAAATATCCCCCCAAAAAAAGTACTACAACAGAAACAAACGGCCGACCGGCAACGACCTCATCATCACGACTTTGTTTTAAAATTCTGTTGATTGTCCGTCTATCTGTCAGTCAGTTGGTCTTCTACATCAGGACAGTGGTATGGGAAAAGGGTGGACTTTAATTTAATAAATTTTCAGTTAAAATCTCAGAATACATAACGCTTTTATGACTGGGTTAGAGGTGAGAGTACATAAATAGCTTTTTTGAATGACTTAAGGGTGGAAATACATAAAGCGCATATTTGGCTGACTTAAATCATCGGCTTGCTTCTTCGTAGAGGAACAAAGGAGATTTAGGTTGATTTAGTTCGATTTTGGCCCTAGGCTCCTTTGTCCATTTCCGAAGAAGCCAGCCGATGACTTAATACAGCCAAATATGCGCTTTATGTGTTTCTACCATTAAGTCATCAACTGGCTTCTTCGTAGAGGAATAAAGTAGTTTTAGGTTGACTTAGTTCGATTTTGGCCCTAGGCTCCTTTGTTTTTTTCCACACATCGACACAGTTGCTGAGACAACAAACTGTGAAACCAATTTTGAAATTGAGAATTATAAATGAAAAATTATTCAAATTTATAAAAATTGTTCAAATATGCATATCATAATAACCTCCGAATGACGTCATATAAGAAAACATTTACATACTGGGTGATATGAAAAAACTGCAACCAACTTCGGACTGCTGTCACTTCTAAGCCACTCGTCCGACAGCTGTTAAAATTATTCCAGTGACAGCTCATTATATGGTTTACAAGCGTACAAAAAAAATATTTATTCGTGATGGAATTCAAGCGTGATAGTGTGATTTCTTTATATTTGGCTGGAAGCCCACAAGTGGCTATCGTTAGAGCACTTCAGCATTTGAATGTGAATAAATCTTTTGTGTCTCATATAATCTAGAGCTGGCAAACTATCGATAGACGCACCATTCGATATTTTCGATAGTTTGTTGCAAAACTATCGATAGTATCGAATAATGTGGGAATGCCAATATTAATTTTTCAACAATGCGCGCAACTTTTTTTTCATTGTTCTATGTTATTAATTTGTGTGTTATAATTATTTTTGAATTATGGTTTTTGTTAAACTTTTGCGATTTTTATTAAAAATAAAAATAACTACTAACAAAACTCATCACAAATGTAACAACCATTCAAGTCAATATCAATAAACAACACCGATATGTACTTACATGTATTTTTAATAACGGACTCAATTATATTAAATGATCTAATGATTAATATTTTTTTATTAAGAAACGCTTAAACAAAACAAATTGACATAAAAACAAAAAATATTTGGAATTCATTATTACAGTTATTATATTTTATTAAAATATGTACATATAGTAAATATTAATTATAAACTATATTTATAGTCAAAAATAACAGACAATAACGCTTAAACAAAACAACAACATAAAAAAAAATATTTGGAATTCATTTTTATAAGGCACTTTGAGATCAACTTTTACAAAAAAAAATGTATTTGCATGTAGTAAAAATTAATTAAAAATTACATTTATATTAAAAATTAAAAAAAAAAACAGATAATAACGCTTCAACAAAACAACTAAACATAAAAACAAAAAATATTTGAAATTCATTATTACAGATACATTCAGATCTTATTTTATAAAAATATTTAATCAAATTAATTTAAATTTAAAATTATAATGAAAATTACCTTGAAAAAGGTATTATTTGTTTAAAAACCTCACTTCTTATAATTCTTTACTGACCCAACAATTTTTGTTAACAAAGAGCAGCATATCAACATTTTTTGGCTTTAAGCTAGATCTTCTTTCCGAAATTATGGCTCCGGTTTTGCTAAACATTCGCTCAGCCTCTGTCGAAGTTGCTGGTACGCATAAATAGCGTAAGGAACATGACTTTATAAGTGACATTTGGCCAGAACTATTCTGAAAATAAACATAACACTACGTAAATTTGTTAATAAATAGTTTTGTATTATATTATTTACCTTCCAGTACTGTAATGGATCTATTTCTAATGCTGCATTTTCATTTTCAAAATATTGCCTAAGAGAAATGATGGCGTCTACTTGATGTGATCTTACTTTAGAGGCAATTTTATTTCCTACGAATTTTAAAAGCGGTGGCTGCGAACTTTGATGAATATTTTTAGAACATGATGGTTCTAAATTATCTTGTTCCATGGTGTTGTTTTTGTTCATACCACTCAACACGTTTTGTAAAAATTGTGTTCCTCCATCTGCATTGCTTGGGAAAAGAAAACCTTCCTTCTTGAACCGAGGGTCTAATAATGTTCCGAGTCTTGTAACTGTACGCTCCTCGTAAGGAAATAGTCTTTTCTTTATTCTTTCAAGCAGAAATATACAAGCTTGATGGCCTTCTGAAGTTTTCATAGCACTTTTTAACTCATCAAGAGATTTAAAAAGACCACATGTTAGAGGAACTACTAGGGAAATAGTAACAGCTGCACTTGACGATGTTTGGACTGTAGCGGAATCAAATGGCATAAGCAATTGTTTAAGGTCCTGCAAAAATTCTATATCGTCTGCCGTTAAAGGTAGCGGTGCCTTTGGTGTCATTAGCAGTACATTTGAAATAGAATTATTTGTTAAAAGAATGCTCTCCACCATTCTGAGAGCACTGTTCCAGCGGGTCGGTACCTCCTGTTTTAGGCTGTGGGGCATATCTCTTCCTTGGTCCGCTTTAAACTTTTCGTAGGAAATTGTGCTGCTCTTAAAATAGCTCACAATTTTCTTACATTTCCCTAAAGTAGTTTTAACATAATCTTGCGCTAAGCAATCTTGCACCACAAGGTTAATAGTGTGTGCAAAGCATGGCAGATTTCGTTTTTGAAGCAATTCGCACGCTTTCAACATACTGCTAGCATTATCGCTGACAACTGCCACCACTTTCTCCATTAGACCCCACTCTTCTAACACGGCGCGCATAGATATTGATATATTTTCTGCGTTGTGATTAGTGGAACATAACAGTTTTTTTGTAGACAAAACAGCTGTACGGAGAACAAAATCTCTTGTAACAAAGTGGCACGTTACGGTGAGGTAGCTCTCATTTGCGCGCGATGTCCATAGGTCTGTTGTAATAGCGCAGTGTTGTAACCCGTTAAGAATAGTTTGCAACTTACTCTTTGTTTCGTTGTACATATTTACCATCAGAACGTTTTTTAGGGTGTTTCTTGAAGGCAAAACGTAGCGCGGATCTAAGCATCGGACAAAATCACGGAATCCTGTATCCTCTACTACACTGAATGGCTGTACATCAGTGGCGATCAAACTCATTAAAGCCTTATCAAGTTCTTTTTTACGTGCCGATTCAGTATCGTAGGAGACTGAATTGTTGAAAAAGTTATCAATTGTTTTCGTTGGTTT